GGGGGAAGCCAGCCGCCCGACGGTCCCTTTGCTTCCCCGCAGCGCTGCACCTGTCCCTGGTGTTCTCCCGGGAGCAGGGCTTGCTCGTCTTCATCCACAGGTCCCTCGGCATCGAGGAGGTACGTTGGTAAATCTTAATGTTTAAAGAAATGTTGAGATAGTGCGATGTGAACAGCATGTTGCATTGCATGTTAAAACTAAACTTTTTTTTTTTTTTTTTTGCTTTTCAGTTTCGAGATTGCAGGGAGGAAGCACTGAAGTTTCTTTGTGTCTTCATGGAAAAAGTTGGTGACAAAGTTCATCCTTATGCCTGTAGTATTAAGGTGGGTAAAGGAAAACCGTTTCCTAAAGGTCTTTGACAAACGGTTGAAACAATTCTGGTGGGTGTCGTACCTGAACGGATGCGTAACTGCCCTTCACCCTTCCCAGTCTGCCTTACCCATCTCTAGTGTTCTTGCTAGAGCTGAAATAACTTGATTGACATAAGGTGTAATTTATACAACAGAAAAGTGTGAAATTGTTTCTTCAGCTATAGATTTAATTTTATTAACTTTTCTTTATAGAACATAATAGCTATTGGTTTCTGAAAATAAGTCATTAATATTGGAAATAATAGTTACCACTTTTAATTTATACAGACCAAATTCGTAGTTTAAGTGTAATATTTTAGATGCTTCTATAGGTGATGGCTAATTTTAAATACTGATTTTTAATTTTTTTCCTGCAGAGTTGTTACTTTTGCAACATAAACCAAAAGCAGCAGAAACTACAGTACTTCTGAAGATGAGATTCCTTGAGTCTAGAGTCTAATACTGCTTTGCATAGAAACGCTTGACTGCACCACTGCACTTTCTGATCTCAAATTAGTAGCTACATATTGTAAGGAATGATAGTACAGAGGTGGAAATTTTGCTTTGCCTTTTATTCCAGCAACTGCACTTCCTTTGCTTGAGCTGGGATTTGTTATTACGTCAGACAGCGCTGTAGTGTTCTCAGTGAAGCCACTTTCAGGATTGAATATTTTTATTGTTTTACTCTTTTTTTTTTTTTAAAAACCTTAAACTTGTTAGGAACAGATACTTTAAAGAGGTAGATGAATACATTGTTATCTTTGAATTCCCTTGTTTAATTACAAGTATTATAATACCATTTTTTTTCCTATCTAGCAAACTTGTCTTAGTGTTTATACAAAAGAGAGAGCAGCAAAATGTAAAATCCCAGCTCTGGAACTTCTGATTAAGGTAAAATGCATTTTGTAAATCTCTGTTGTTTCTAGAAAAATAAGAAAACCTGTTGTATTACTATAGTTGTGCTATATCGTGCAGAAAATCTGTAGTCTGCAGTAGCAAAAGAATAGTGATAGTGTAATATTTTGAAGTTAGTAAGAGATACGTCTTAACAACAGATTGTCTTTGATATTACTCCAGAAGGTTGTTTAGATGCGAGCATGTCATTCCTCCATCTGCTAGAGCAAGACATGATTGTTTTGGGGACAGTTGCAGATCTCTCCCAGTTTATTATGGCTCTTTAAGGAGAAATTTTGCAGTGTAATTGTATTCTTACTTAAAAATATTATGTATTAATATGTAATATTATAATATAATACATTAGACACAGCATCTGAAAGGTGTGGAGGAGGAGGGCTTTTTTTCATAAGTTTTATTTCTGAGACAGTAATTTCATACTGTGCTTCCTTAGAATGCGTTAGACCCTTGCTTTGCACCTACATAATTTTGTCTATGAGAAACAAAACTCCCTTCTGAGTTACTCTGAGTCAGTTCTGTGAACTGGACTGGCTTTATAGCAGCAGGGAGAGAAATACAGTATGATAAAGGCTACTGCAGACTTGCTAAGCCTGTGCTTTTGTGGGGGTTTTATATATGTATATGTATAATTTATATATAATTATACTGGTTATAATTTTCATGTAGGTGATCTAGATATGATATGTATAATGTAACTTAAAAATCATAAATGTTATATTTATACAGGTGTAGGAAAGTAGTTTGTTGTTAAAGTTGATTTCATTCCTACATACTTAAGCTGAAGTTATGCGTATGAACTGTGTTTTTATTTAGAGCAGGTAGGATTGTGGTAGTGATAATAACAATTTTCCCAAGGTTTTGTTTTTTTTTAATCTATCTTAGTTGCTTCAAAGTTTACGACGTTCCTGTCTGATGGAAGAAATGAAAGTTGGGGAGATATTTAATAAATTTTATGGGGAACTTGCCACAAAATCTAAAGTTTCTGATACAGGTAGGCTTTAGTTTTTCTGTCAACGTCCTTTGTTTTATTTGCACTCAGTTTTTGTTGGACTATACCCCATGGAACTGTATAATTGTTATTCCCATGGCAAGTGTGTTTAAAACCAGTAGCTGTCATGTTTTAGAGCTAGTAAAATTTGTTTAGGTCTTCTGATCATGACTATGTAGTTAGCTGTTTCTTAGCAAGACTTGCTGTGCCTGCGTAGAACCCTTTAGTCTGAACTCGAGCCTAGAAACTTTTGCTGGCTGTTGGCCTTAACCCTGATGGTACTTGAAAGACCCGGCATAATCTCAAAGCCAGCAGCAAACTTGGATTACTGGTAGATGCTTCCTCAGTGGACATGGCCTTTATTAATCAGTTTTCTAAGCCGTGTTTAAAGAGTAAATGTGTTTAACTTCTTAATGTGAGAGGAGGATACATCTTGCATCATAGCATATAGAGAGATATATGTATGTATGTACATAACAAAGAGCTGTCTTTCCCACATGCTAGTCACCAATTAAAGCATCAGGGATGTTTTTCTCATGGTTGTAAGTTACAGAGGAATAGCAATGGAAATGTCAAAGTAATGATTTCAATAATTAATATTTAATAATATTAAATTACTTTCTAGTACTGGAGAAGATTTATGAGCTTTTGGGAGTTTTGGGAGAGGTCCAGCCTAGTGACATGATTAATAACTCTGAAAAACTATTCCGAGCATATCTGGGAGAGCTTAAAACACAGGTATGATTGGAATTTCTTTTCAGACTCTTACATTGCTTTGGTTTTTCTCCTTTGATGTGTGTGGCGTTGTATGTTGGAATACTGCTGTAACTAGTACAGTTTGTAGGGACCTAACTGGACAATCATAAATGCTTCCTTAAGGACCATTAAAGTTTGTGTTCCCTGGTTCTGAGAAGCTTTCAAAGTAAAAATTCAAGGCCATCAGTGACAGCTAATTAACCAATTTACTGTGAGAGAAGATGGCACATGATGATCATTGCAGTAGTGCCCAAGAAAAGTTATATTGCCAGGCACTGGTAGTTTCTGATTTGGTCTCTACTTAGCTGCAGAATCTTTGCACTTCTAGTGAATATCACAGTTCTGCTGAACTTTGCTTTCCTATATTCTGCACTTTTATGATGTTAGTGTGTGCTATCTTAAGTTTTGCTATGGTTGGTCTTGGTAGAACATATTTCATGCTTTTCAAAGGATTTCTTGTGCTTCTGTGGTTAAACTCCCGCTCAAATGATACAAAACTTCTGAGCAGGAGATGTTTCTGTTCATATAGGTGAGTGCTGACATAACTGTATTAATAAAGTTGGAATATGTTATTTTCTCTACGTTTCTAGGAACTGGGAAGGCTTGGTCTAAGTTTATCTCAGCTTGAGGATAATATTTTTTTCAATTCCCACTTTTTTTTAGATGACATCAGCTACAAGGGGACCCAAGCTACCTGTTGTAGCAGGATGTCTGAGGGGTCTGGTTGCACTCATGTACAACTTTACCAAATCTGTGGACGAAGGTATATTCTTTTTATATGTGAAAGACAGTTACACAAATTTGATATATTTTAATCGTTATACAGCCAGCAAACAGCACCATTTCTCACTGTGAACTCAGAATGAAAATTTCCCCACTGGTAGATGGTTTATGCAAAAGCAAGACCTGTCCAGCTTACATAGTCTTTGTAGTCTGTCTTTGCATGAGGTGGCTTCATCAGTGTGTTCCTGTACACAAATGTTTGAAGTGCTGTTTTCTAACCAGAGGTTGGGCAGCTGCGAGAGCCACATTGAAGCTGGAATGCAGTTTATAGAGATGTGCTTGCCTTAGAGAAGACCTGTCTGTTAAAACATGGGCATTCAGAAAAATCAATGAATATAGATGTACATTCTTTTCAAACTTAAGAATATTTCAGGAAGAAGCATCTCTGCCTCTTAAAATGAGATATGTAAGGCTTTCCAATATTGCTTCTTCATACCAAGCTTTGGATAAAAAGATCTTTGTCTTTTTGCTATTGACACACAAGAAGTAATATTCATTATTGGATTTTTTTTCACAGATCCTCAGACTGCAAAGGAGATTTTTGGTTTTGCAATGAAGGCAATCAACCCACAGGTAAACCTGCCACGTGTTAATTTTTCTGCATAAATGAATTGGCCCTGATGAAGAATAAATTACATGTGACAAACCTTTTCTGATGTTACAGGTTGATCAGAAGCGATACGCAGTACATCTAGGTAAGACTATAAACTATTTCAATTCATGCTGAGGTGGATACCGTACATACAATGGTGTCTTCTGTCTGGAGTTGTTTATTCTCCACTGGCTGCCTTTGGTCTTCCTAGCTGATTGGGGAGCAATTTAAGTTGGAATCTAGAGAGTTAAACATGTATTTGGTTAAACTAGGCAAGGTCTAACCAGCTTATGAACAGCAGCGTTACGCTTGATGCCATTTGCCCCTCTGCAGTAGTACAAAACCCTGGTATGAGAAGTGAATTGTGGTAGAAGTAGAGATAAGAGGAATGTAGCAAATTAGGAGAAAAGAGAAGATGGTGTATTGTGTTAAAGGAAAAAAATGGGAAGAGAAAGGGAATTTCAATGGAAGAAGGAGAGAAAAATTGGGAACAAATGAAATTCATGAAGAGATTGAGAAATTAGCCTGCAAAATGTGAGTGGCTCATACAGAAATTGCAAAAATGCAAGGTTCGGGTACTAAGCCCATGGCAACTGTGAAGGGTAAAACCTTCTTTAAAAATAGCCTGCCAAAAAAAAAATTAATTAGGGATCTTGAAATTTCATGTATGCTTATATTTGGGATTGTGAAATTACATATATTCTGAACTCTCTATTTGTTTGCATCGCAGTTTGGTGGAGGAGGGGACTTGGGCATATGTCCTTACCACAGAAACCAAATCCTTGTGAATCGTGCAATTGAGTTTTATTATTTGTAATGGGTAGAGTAGCTTTATTTTTCACAGTTAATATAAATTACTTCAGAACACAGCTGTGCTTTCCATAATGGTGTGTATTTAAAAAAGAGGATTTTGGTTTTATGCTTAAGTTCTTAATGTTTGGATACTGACACTGTAATGGCTAGAAGAATACATTTTGTACGCTCCAGTCGTGGTAGGTATACCTGCCTAAAGTCCTAATGTGGGCTTCTGTAGTCTGATCTGGTTTTGGAAAGTGGAATGGAAGTCTGGGTTTTAATGAGAATTGTTCTTAAATTGCAGCTGGTTTACAGTTGTTCAGCTGGCATGCTGCTCAGTTTGGTACCTTACTCCTAGACAACTATGTCTCCCTCTTTGAAGCAATGTGTAAATGGTGTAGTCACACAAATCAGGAGCTGAAGAAAGCCAGTCATTCTGCCCTAGATTCATTCCTCAAGCAGGTATTGTATCTTCACTGTGATCTCTGAGACTAAAGCAAAGTCAAATTTCTTGAAATAGTGGGGATATTTGGTGCTTGGAAGGTCAGTGAATTTGTTTAATGAATAATTATTTTGTTTGAAGTGCTTCATATTACAAGCTAAGTGTCTTCTAAGATTTACTGTAATGTTTTTGTGGCTTTTCTCATGCTTCATGGAAATCCTGAAATTTTTGTATTTGCTTTCCAGATTTCTTTAATGGTAGCTAAGGATGCAGAGCTACACAAGAGCACATTGCAGTTCTTCATGGAGCAGTTCTATGGAATCATCAGAAGAATGGATTCAAGCAACAAAGAGTTGTCTATCGCCATTCGCGGATATGGGCTTTTTGCAGCAGTACGTGCAGGAAACTTACTCTGATAAAGGAGCCTACAGGATGGGTTTAAAGCTAGGATTCATATACTGTTCATTTTACAGTTTTACGCAGCTTGTTATATAGGGAATGCTACTGTTTCTGGATTAAGTGGTTAAAAATTATTAAAATGCATACTGGGTTTAGTGGGAGCACTTGCAGCACTGAGGGAATAAAAGTTCAGAATTTGGGCTGCTGGGTTAAATGTTAAATAGTAGTAGCCTGTGAGTGATAGTTGGTTAAGCAACAGTAAGGTAATCCACTTAATACTTAAATGCAGCTACGTCACGATATAAGTGAATATTAGCATCCATAATGCCATGTATAAGATATTTATAGCCAACCTCCATGCTTTTCAGGCTGGGTTTGAAGTTGTGTCACTGAAGGTTCAAGTACTCTTATAGTAAATTACACTGCATCAGTGAACTATTATTTTAGTTCGTTGCAGGTACCATGTTTGTCATACATGTAGCAAGTAGAATACTTAAAGTTAGTTTATTCAGATGTATTGAGTTCCTGGAAACATTTAAAAGATTATTCTTATTATGGTTCAGTGAAGACTTGGCTGGGTTTTAGCACTACACCATATGTTTGCTTGACAAAGTTGTACAAAGTTGCTGAATCAGTATTTTATTTTCTCTCTGTAAGCCCTGTAAAGCTATACGTTCTAAGGATGTTGATGACATGTACGTTGAGCTCCTTCAGCGCTGTAAGCAGATGTACCTCACAGAAGCAGAAACAATAGACGACCACCTGTATCAGCTACCGAGTTTCCTTCAGTCCATTGCAAGTGTGATATTCCATATAGATGCGGTAAGTGGAGTATTTTAAGTACCATTCAATTTTTCTTTTACGCAGCTGCAAATGTACAAGGAGGTAGTAGCTGTGAATTTACCTGTGATAGAAGGTGTTCCTTATCTGAAATATAGCTCCTAGATAATGGGAAGAATATCAGGAGAATACTTTACTGGATTTTATTTGAATTAAAAAAAAAAATGCACAGATATACTAAATAAAATGCTACAGTGCATTGTAATGAAAACCACGATAGCCAGATATGAATAGGTTTTTTTTTATATTGGGCAAAGCTATTTATTTGGACCGAGCCTTACCATTCTCTTTATGAGTTTATACCATTCTATTGCTGCTTTTTCTTTTGGTACTGGTACTTAGCATGTTCTCTGAGGCTGATGCTTTGATTTTCCGCTGATGCTATGCTGTCTCTGTTCTAATGACGGCTTTCTAGATCCTAGCTGGAGCTGGGAAGTAAGGTTATGGCAGAGAAGAGACTTTCACTTATATTTTGTGTTCGGATTGTTGAGGATGAACAGGTTATATTGCTGTGTTGTTGTTTAATTAAATGGTACTTTTCTAATAAGCTTAAGACAGATTCCACCGAAGCACTAATCTATTCAGGAGCTACTTTCCATAATGTGTTCCAGAAAGATTTCTTATTCTGTTTGTTTTTTGGTTTTTTTATATCAAAGGTTAATTCACTTGCTTAGTCTTTTATTGTTCTCAGAGCAGGTCATGATGTAAACTCTTGTAACAAAGTATCTTGCTGAAGTAATTCAGCATAATTCTTCACACTGATACTGAGTTATAATCATTGCCTTTGTATGATGGGTGTTTTGGTTTTATTTCTTCTAGATTCCTGAAGTATACACTCCAGTTCTTGAACATCTAGTTGTGCTGCAGATCAATAGCTTTCCACAATACAGTGAAAAAATGCAGTTAATTTGTTGCAAATCTATAATAAAGGTATTTCTAGCCCTCTCAGGAAAAGGTCCAGTTCTCTGGAGTTTTATTAGCACTGTGGGTGAGTCTGTGATACTAGCTTCATTGTGTTTTTTGGGGGGGTTGTGGTTCTTTGGTTTAGATTTTTTTTTTTTCCCCCTAAATTGATTAACTGGTTCTAAGAGAGGTGTGTGGAATAGCTGTTTAGGGTCAAAACATGAAGCTTTTCTCGTCCTCTAACAATGAAGGTTTAGGATTTTCATTGTGTTATTTTTCAATATCCATTGTTAAATCACTTAAGGAATACATTTAACAACTGTTTTGGATGATGGAGTGGCTATCATGAAGGGCAGGAGAATATATTTTTGTCATAATCTGTTAAAACGTAAGACTGATGTTCCTGCTGTAAAGGGTTGTGATGAGAAAGGGATTTCACAGAAAAATGTGCAAAAATCAGTTCAACACCCTTTCGGTTACCCCTGCAAAATATCACAGAAAGTAGGGTGAGTGTCATCTCTATTAGAAATGCAATCTTTTTATATTCTGGAACTTGTACATAGTAAAAACCAAAATTCCAAATATGCAGTTAGTCCATCAGATACAGTCCTGCGAATGTAATAATGAATGTGTCAACATTGTTAGCTGACAATTTGAGTAGCCTCCAGCATGCTGATGCTTTATTATAATGATTTTCAGAAATTATTTTTGTTTTCTTCAAATTATTAACAGTGTCTTTTCTCTACTGCTGTGGCTTTTTCATTGTTTTCCATGTTCTTGATTTGGGACGTGGTGCACCCAAGCACCATGCCGGAATGGAGATCCTAAGTATATGTCTGTGAGAGTCATTGGGAGTTGTTGCCTTTTTCAATATGGGCATTATAGGCAATGCCTTTGTCATCACTGCATTCAGACTCAGGAAAAAGTCAGAGCAGTACTGAAAAAAAATAGTCAGAAGAAAGTTCAAAATTGGTTCCCTGTGAAACGTCCTAGAGTTATGGCTCTGGTTTTGGTTATATTTGTCCTTAAAGAAAAATCTATGTTCTTTTGCCTCTCCCTCATCCCGACAGAATGTAAAAAAACAGAAGACTGATTTAATTAATTGCTAATGTAATGAGTGATATGGATTCTGTGCCTTTTTAAGTCTGTTCAGGCAATTTTTTTTTGTGGTTGTTTTAGTGCATCAGGGATTAATCAGAATCTTCTCCAAGCCAATCACGTTTTCAAAGGTAAAACTGTTTAAATATACTTATTTCATCTAGCTTCCTAGACTATACATTCCAGTTCTTGAAGATATAGCCCAGTAATCAGGGGAAGACCCAAAGAAGCAAAAATAGTACCATCCTTTTTGGTTTGTGGCTCAGTTGTTATTAGTTTCTGGTCCCTACATCTGCTCAGCATAACGAGGATGTGCCTCTTGCACTGAATGAAAAAAAAATAACAGGAAATAGGCTGTTGTTCTCTGCAGTTCTTGTTTTGCTCAGGTTGTCTGTAACGAAGTACGTTACACTTAAGGTCATCTGGCTTTCTTCCATGTTAACAAATTTTGGACATCTTAAAAGTTTTACTGAATGTTTGTGTTAAGAGAGGATTTTCAAGCTTTTTAATCCTGTGCGGCAGGGTAACTACAGAGTTTCTTGAATAACTGACCACTGAGATTTTTTGAAAGGAGCTGGTTTTTTTGTGCTCTTTTCAGGTTGGTTAAATGAGAAAGCTAAATATTTCATGTTTCTACTTGTGTAAGTGTCGTGGTTTAACCCGGCTGGCAACTCAGCACCACGCAGCCACTGGCTCACTCCCCCCCCCCCCTCAGCGGTCTGGGG